GAAAAAGGTCTGATTTGGAACACAGCTTGGCTTTATTTTTATTTTAAAAAATTTGTATTCCTGCGTTATGGAATAATGAACTGAAATCAACGTCTTCGCTGATGAAAATTGTTGGAACGGCAACGTGGACCGTCGCTGTTGACCTCCAGACTTTATCCTCTTCTCCACGATGCTAAAGTTTTATTCATAAAGCAGCTTTAGAACAAGGCGGAGGACGACATTCACACGCCGATAAATAATGCAAACGCACTTTGAATTGAATTCAAAGGGTTTTCGAATGATTGACGTGACAACAAAAACAAGGCCAACATGCAGAGATTTCAAATCCCCACCTACTGATGTGACGGAGTTTATTAGGTGTGTGTGTGTGTGTGTGTGTGTCTGAGAAGGTGGAGCAGCTCCACCACGACGCTCTACTACCTCTCCTCCGCCCCCAGCTGTGCAGTGAGTGGACGGAACATCTGCTTCACGCCGCGCTGCACGCTGGAGTTTAAAGTGAGAAGTTGAAGTGATTCTGTTTATAAATGTGGCTCAAAACAAGTTTTTTCTTTTTTTGAAGCTTCACATGAAAGAAAACTGTTTTATTAAAACTGTTTATCAGTTATAAACCAGTCGGGTGTCTTTTTAATCCGGCCAATCTGGAAAAGGGTTTTAAATAAACACATGAGGCACATTTATCACCACAACATGTCAGACATACAAGGAATCTGACTTGGCGGTTGGTGCGTAACGTCCTCTAACACGATGGACAAGACGGATGTTTAGATATTTGTTTAGAAACCCACATCGCACGCAAGTGACATAATGATTTATTTCTGACTCTTTATTGTTAAAGCTGCCACAGGGAGCGTTCCTTTAGTGTGGACTCTGGCGCCCCCTGTGGACGGAGGCGGTAGTGTTGAATGACAGCGATTCCCCTGGAGAGCATAAGTTCACGTCTGTCTGAGATTAAAGAGACTTTTACACGCAGAAAGACAAATGTTTCCCCTGCAAATTCTGGCAGGATAATCCTGAAAAAATCAGAACGAGAATGTGGAGACGGTGAAAAGCGTCATTCGTCTCGTCTCCGCATGCGTTCTCCGGTCAGGTGGTTCTGGATTAAAACCCCAGATGGACACAAACATTCAGCCGTGGTGGGACCAGCAGAGTCCAGCAGAAAGGCCGCCGTGTGCGGCTCACGCTTTCTACGAGCTACACGTTGGAGGAAGCTCAGCGCGCGCCGCCATGTTTTAGTGGAGTAACGACCCGGAGTGTGTGCCGTGACAAGACATGCCACACACACACACACACACACACACACACACACATCACCGTGAAAACACTCACTAGCTCGCCAAATTTGGATTAAACCGCAGCTGAACATGCAGTATTTCATCTTAATGGGCCTTTATCATTAACAGTGTATTAAACCAGGTGCGCAAGCTAACGAAGCGCTAACGTTCTAGATTGGACCCCATTGGCCCGCCTGCGTCAGGGGGGCGGGGCTTAGAGCAGGGGTTAGTTGACGTACCGGCGGTCGTGTTGGTGCTGGAGGATTCCTGACTCTCTGCAGGCATGTCGGCACGAGGTGGAACGTCCAACGGGTTCCTGTGTGTGTGTGTGTGTGTGTGTGTGTGTGTGTGTGTGTGTGTGTGTGTGTGTGTGTGTGTGTGTGTGTGTGTGTGTGTTGGCTTGGGAGAGTCCTCTGGGCTTTAATCGGGTCTGAACGGAGGCGGAGGGAGAACTCTCCCCTCTTCTTCCTCTGCAATAAGGCTTCTCGCTCCAAATCCTTTAATCTGAAGCGGAACGCAGGCTTCTTCTCACACACACACACACACACACACACACACACACACAGCTGCGTGAATCACAGCCGCTTTGTTGTTAATTGAGAGCCAGAGGACCCCCCCCCTGGTTATGTATGAGTATGTGGGTAAAGGTTGGCTGTGCAGTTCAAGACGACCGGGACAACGTTAACTTTTTAACTTTTTGAATAATGCACGTTGAGGCTCACGTGCGTGAGCATGAACACACAGCAGAGCGTCTCTCCTGAAGTCCTCTGCGTCTCTCTGGAGGTTCGATAATCGCAGTGACGCTGCGGATCTGCTGGATCGTGTCCACGATGACTCAACGTTCAACTTTGTTTGTTTTCCTTCTTAATTCATCCACATTTAATCTGCGGCCCGGAGTGATTTATAATCCAAAGTACTTCCAGGTTGTCTTCAAAAAGATGATGTAAAGCGATTATTTTTATTTGCGTTTAGGCTATTAACGAGGTATTTTCATCCCACGGTTAATTAAGTCCTGACGGGGTGACTTTGGGTAACGAGCACAGCGTCGCCTCAAAGAGGAAAATGGTCGTTTTAAATCACACACCAATTAATAACCAAGTTGGTGACGTCGTGGAGCAAAATAACCTTTACTTTCCACATCATCGCGGTGACCGTTGGAAAAAACACACACTGTGATGAGCGCATAGTAACTGTATGTTAATATGTCATTATAATGGCATTTGTCAAAGGAATTAATGAAGCCCCCCCATGTTGCATGACGGTACCTGTGTCCATGCAGCGGGATTCTCCAGAGGACGAGTCCTCGCCAACCGGCTCCTTTAACCCGGGAGCTCTGAAGCGGGAGAGAAAGCGCTCGCAGAGGACGCCACGCGAAATTACATTTGCATAAGACCGACTTAATCAGCGGCATGAAATGGGATCGTCTTTACTTCAGCGCAGCAGCAGGACTGTTGTGCATTAATGAAGAGCGATATTTGTTTAAGGAGATTGGTTTCCTTCCTTGCAGGCAGAGGGCAGATTTCACCTCATTTCAGGTTGGTAATCACAAGGGACATTTCCTCGCGTTCACTTTGGTCAAACTTCTCGTTGTTGTCAATTCCTTTTCGACGGTTTTGGTGTCCTTGAACGCACCGGCAGAGTCCCTCCAACAAAAATAAAACTAATCGGACGATTTCTGCTCTCACAGGGTCTCTGAGGGCTGTTTATTCAATGCTGCTTCTGATTCATACGTTGTTTGCGCTAGATTGTGTCTTTGTCCGCACAGTCGGCCTTTTGTTGGTCCCTGCTGAGATGTCACCCGGTGGTACTGCAGACAACACACAGTGTGTGTCTGTGTGTGTGTAGTGAGTGCCGTCATTAGACTAATCCTCTCCTCACTGGGTCATAATGTGCACCAACACAGGCTTAGTGGCGTAACAATATGAATCCTCTCGGGTCCAAACGAAACCGCTTC